CACTTCTTTCTTTCCTTCCTTCCTTAATTGCACCTTGCTTGACGTGTCACACTCTCTCAGCCTTGGAAGATGGCAATGGCAACGGTAAGAAGGGAGGGAGAGAGGTAAAAGAGGGAAGGGAGGAAGGAGAAGAGAAAAAGGAGGGGAGGAGAGAGGGAGAAAGAAGAGGGGATGAAGGAGGGGGGAAAGGAAAAAAGAAAGATAGGAAATAGGGAAGGAAGAAAGATAAGAAAGGGAGAATTAAAGAAAGGGAGGTAGGAAAAGGGGAAGAAAGGAGGGGGAGAAAAGGAAGAAATGAGAGGAAGGAGCCTGGCCAGAAACGCAGGTACGGGAGTCTTGCCGCATTGTCCAATTCATAGATTAATAGCATGCTCGGCTTATTATTTATAGAGTGACTAGCTGCACCCTGGCCACACATTGCTGTGACCCTCAGAAAACAGGAATCCCAGACATGGAACAATCTGGGCAAGGGAACACCTCCCCACAAAGGTTTCCTGTAGGGAGGAAGAAGCCAGGCTTTTAAGCGGCAAGGCTTTTCAAAAGTTATGAAGGTGGGTATGTGTATATGTATATATGTGTATATTTGTGTGTGCTTGTGGCGCAGCTGGCTGGGTGTCAGCTGTATTAAGATCACTTCTGACCAAAAGGTCATGAATTTGAAGCCAGCCCGGGTCGGAGTGAGCTTCTGACTAATTGTGTAGCTTGTTGTCAACCTTTGCAACCGGAAAGACAGTTGCATCTGTCAAGTAGGAAAATTAGGTACCACCTATGTGTGAGGAGGCTAATTTAACTAATTTACGAGGCCATAAAAAATCTGGCCAGGGTGGTCCATGCCTTAGTCACCTCCAGATTGGACTACCTCCAGATTGATTACTGTAATGCGCTCTACGTGGGACTGCCCTTGAAAACGGCCCGGAAATTTCAATTGGTACAACGGGCGGTGGCCAGGTTGTTAACTGGTGCTCCTTACAGGGAGCGGTCAACACTCCTGTTTAAGGAGCTCCATTGGCTGCCATTCATCTTCCGGTCCCAATTAAAGGTGCAGGTGCTTACCTACAAAGCCCTGAACAGTTTGGGACATGCCTACCTGTGTGACTGCATCACTGTGTACGAACCCACACGACCTCTTCGTTCACCCACTTGCACTCCCACCTCCATCGCAGGCGTGATTGGTGGGGACGAGAGAGAGGGCCTTCTCGGTGGTGGCCCCCCCGACTCCGGAACTCACTCTCCAAGGATATCAGACAAGCCCCAACTTTGGCAATCTTTAGGAGGAGCTTGAAAAAGTGGTTGTTCCAGTGTGCTTTCCCAGAATAAGGAAAACTCCCAGCAATATGTCCCTAAATGCACTTTATTAGTGATCTAGAACTGTCTGTACGCCCCATTCTTTTCCAAAATTCTATCCTAGTTATATTTCACCTGGTCTTGTCCAGCATTATTTTTAAATTTTAACTATTATATTTGGCCCAGCCATTGGTTTTTAAATGTTATTGTGTTATTGTAGATGTTTACTGCCTATTTTTTGTTTATGAGTTTTATTTTATTGTTTTGTATTACTGCTGTTGTTGTTTTTTGCTGATGTATTGTGGGCTCGGCCTCAGATGTGGACTATCTACAGACGTCACAGTCAACTCCTGGAACGATTCCATCAGCGCTGCCTTTGAAAAATCCTGCAAATCTCTTGGGAAGACAAGTGGACAAATGTCAGCGTGCTGGAAGAAGCAAAGACCACCAGCATTGAAGCAATGGTTCTCCAACATCAACTCCACAGGACCGGTCACATTGTCCGGATGCCCGACCACCGTCTCCCAAAACAGTTGCTCTACTCTGAACTTAAGAACGGAAAACGGAACGTTGGTGGACAGGAAAAGAGATTTAAAGATGGCCTTAAAGCCAACCTTAAAAACTCTGGCATAGACACTGAGAACTGGGAAGCCCTGACCCTTGAGCACTCCAGCTGGAGGTCAGCTGTGACCAGCAGTGCTGCAGAATTCGAGGAGGCACGAATGGAGGGTGAAAGAGAGAAACGTGCCAGGAGGAAGGCGCGTCAAGCCAACCCCGACCGGGACCGCCTTCCACCTGGAAACCAATGCCTTCACTGTGGGAGAAGATGCGGGTCAAGAATAGGGCTCCACAGCCACCTACAAACCCACAAAAATAGTCATAGAATCATAGAATCAAAGAGTTGGAAGAGACCACATGGGCCATCCAGTCCAACCCCCTGCCAAGAAGCAGGAACATCGCATTCAAATAACCCCCGACAGATGGCCATCCAGCCTCTGTTTAAAAGCTTCCAAAGAAGGAGCCTCCACCACACTCCGGGGCAGAGAGTTCCACTGCTGAATGGCTCTCACAGTCAGGAAGTTCTTCCTAATGTTCAGATGGAATCTCCTCTCTTGTATCAGCTGGAACCCTTAATGTGGCCCTTTTTATAATAATAATAATAATTGGCCTCATGTAAGCTGCCCCGAGTCCCCTTGGGGAGATGGTGGTGGGGTATAGATAAATTATTATTATTATTATTATTATTATTATTATTATTATTATTATTATTAAGCCAAGCTTCTGCCTTTAACAAGTTCCACCAACATCCACAAACCTGCCTGACTTCCAAACGAGAGTCCTTCAATGCAAATTAAAATTAAGGTTTAATATAATGTAGTTGAATCTGTGATAGGGTTGCCGTAAGAGCTGTGATGTGTGTTTTGAATTAAATTGTATGAAAGTTGTATAACTGAAGCTGATAAGGCCGAAGATACCACCCCAAGAAAAATAAATTATGGAAAACTGCAAAAGGCTGATGAAGATAAGCTACTAAAATGCTGCCATGACCAGAGACAATGATTAACTCTTGGGTTGAAAACAACATGTTTACATAGTCGGAGACAATTATTCTTTAAGGAAGCAAATACAATGCACCTTACTTAAGAAGGAAAGCCAACATCTGTCCGGAACTGATAGAGTCAGCATGTTTTAGCTGCAAAACAACCTGTCAGTCATTTACATCTGTTTGGAACAACAGCATGAAATATGCTATATAAGAGACCTTTTTACAATCCAAAAGTGTGGCTGACAGGAAGAGTCTGGTCACCTGCCGGTGTCTCCAAGGGATGGAGAAGATTTGCAGGGAACGCCATCTGGCTTACGTTCGGTTCTCTTCTCCAGGAGAAGGAAGAAGGGATGGTAATGTATGCATGTAGAGTGAATGTTGGAGTATATGTTAATGTTTCCCCTTTCTTGTTTGTTTGTGTACCCAATGTAGTTATATACTCTGTCTAACTTCTTTCTCTGTAAAGTGCGCAATACTCTGTCACACTGAAAATGACTTGAAGGCACATAACAGCAATGGTTATGTTCAATGTATTGTCGAAGGCTTTCATGGACGGAATCACTGGGTTGTTGTAGGTTTTGTCAGGCAATATGGCCATGTTCTAGAAGCATTCTCTCCTGACACTTCGCCTGCATCTATGGCAAGCATCCTCAGAAGTTGTGAGATCTGTTGGAACTAGGAAAAAGGGTTTATATATCTGTGGAATGACCAGGGTGGGACAAAGGACTCCTGTCTGCTGGAGCTAGGTATGAATGTTTCAACTGACCACCTTCATTAGCATTTGATGGCCTGGCAGTGCCCGGGGGAATCTTTTGTTGAGAGGTGATTAGATGTCCCAGATTGTTTCCTCTCTGCTGTTTTGCTGTTGTGGATCCACCCAGAGGAAAAGTGTTCTTGCCAGACATCAAGGGAACCATTGACCGCAGAGGGAAGCTGATGAGGAAACACAACATACAAACTATCTCCAGACCCACCAAGAAAATCCAACCAATGCTCCGTTCAGCAAAGGACAAGAGGGATCCTCTCACCTCTGCAGGAGTCTACCGTGTACCATGCAGCTGTGGACAAGTCTACAGAGGGACCACCAAATGCAGCAGCATTGCCCAGACACGAATCAAGGAACAGGAAAGGCACGGCCACTCCAACAACCACCATGTCAGACTACACAGAGAAGCCATTGAAATACACAAGAAGCATGTGGACAGTTTCAACAGAAAGGAGGAAACAATGGAAATGAGCACAATCTGGCTACCAGTATTAAAAAACTCTAAAATTACAACAGCAAAACAACAGAAAGGAAACAATCTGGGACATCTAATCACCTCTCAACAAAAGATTGCCCCAGGCACTGCCAGGCCATCAAATGCTAATCAAGGTGATCACTTGAAACATTCACACCTAGCTCCAGCAGACAAGAGTCATTTGTCCCACTCTGGTCATTCCACAGATATATAAACCCAATTTTCCTAGTTCCAACAGACCTCACTACCTCTGAGGATGTTTGCCATAGATCAGTGTTTCTCAACCTGGGGGTCGGGACCCCTGGGGGGGTTGCGAGGGGGTGTCAGAGGGGTCGCCAAAGACCATCAGAAAACACAGTATTTTCTGTTGGTCATGGGGGTTCTGTGTGGGAAGTTTGGCCCAATTCTATCATTGGTGGGGTTCAGAGTGCTCTTTGATTGTAGGTGAACTATAGATTCCAGCAGCTACAACTCCCAAATGTCAAGTCTACTTTCCCCAAATTCCACCAGGGTTGACATGTGGGCATATTGAGTGTTTGTGCCAAGTTTGGTCCAGATCCATCATTGTTTGATTCCACAGTGCTCTCTGGATGTAGGTGAACTACAACTCCCAAACTCAAGGTCAATGTCCACTAAACCCTTCCAGTATTTTCTGTTGGGCATGGGAGTTCTGTGTGCCAAGCTTGGTTCAATTCCATTGTTACTGGAGGTCAGAATTAGATTGTAGGTGAACTATAAATCCCACCAACTACAACTCCCACATGTCAAGTCTATTTCCCCCAAATTTCACCAGTGTTGACATGTAGGCATAGTTTGGTCCACATCCATCATTGTTTGAGCCCACAGTGCTCTCTGGATGTAGGTGAACTACAATTCCCAAACTCAAGGTCAAAGCAAACCCTTCCAGTATTTTCTGTTGGGCATGGGAGTTCTGTGTGCCAAGCTTGGTTCAATTCCATTGTTACTGGAGGTCAGAATTAGATTGTAGGTGAACTATAAATCCCACCAACTACAACTCCCACATGTCAAGTCTATTTCCCCCAAATTTCACCAGTGTTGACATGTAGGCATAGTTTGGTCCAGATCCATCATTGTTTGAGTCCACAGTGCTCTCTGGATGTAGGTGAACTACAATTCCCAAACTCAAGGACAATGCCCAGCAAACCCTTCCAGTATTTTATGTTGGTCATGGGAGTTCTGTGTGCCAGGTTTGGTTCAATTCCATCGCTGGTAGAGTTCAGAATGCTCTTTGATTGTAGGTGAACTATGAATCCCAGATGTCAAAATCAATCCCACCTCCCCCCACCCCACCAGTAGCAACAAAAATAATTTTATGGTTGGGGGTCACCACAGCATGAGAAACTGTATTAAGGGGTTGCAGCATTAGGAAGGTTGAGTACCACTGCCATAGATGCAGGCGAAACGTCAGGAGAGAATGCCTCTAGAACGTGGCCATATAGCCTGAAAAAACCTACAACAACCCAATGGTTATGTTTCTTCCACTTTCCACATTCCAGGCACTTTCTATGTTTTCTCTGCTTTGGGGGTCTCTTGGGGTCCTATCACATTCTCGCCAGTGTGGAAGCTCTTCCCGCATTCCATACAGCTGTAGGCTTTCTCCCCCGCGTGGGCTCTCTGGTGGGAATGGAGATGATCATGCCTACTGAAGCTCTTCCCACACTGCCCGCACTTGTAGGGCTTCTCCCCAGTGTGTGTTCTCTGGTGTCTATGGCACGCCGCACTGCTGCAGAAGCTCTTCCCGCACTCAGTGCATTTATACGGTTTCTCTCCTGTGTGGGTCCTTTGATGTGATCGCAGATTTCCACGCAGCCTGAAGCTCTTTCCGCACTCGGTGCATCGGTACGGTTTCACGCCGGTGTGGGTTTGTTGGTGCTTCGTCCACGCGCCACGGTCGCCGAATCTCTTTCCACATTCCGTGCATGTGTACGGCTTCTCCCCCGTGTGGGTCCTTTGATGTCGAGCGCACGCTCCGCTGTCACTGAAACCTTTCCCGCAGTCCTTGCACGTGTATGGCTTCTCCCCTGTGTGGGTCCGCTGATGTCTCGTATAGGCGCCACTGTCGGCAAAACTCTTCCCGCACTCTCCGCAAGTGTACAGTTTCTCCCCATTGTGGGTTCTTTGATGCCGAGCGCATGTTCCACTATCGACGAAGCCCTTCCCGCACTCCGCGCATCGGTACGGCTTCTCCCCGGTGTGGACCCGTCGGTGCAAGTGGAGGCGCTCGTGCCGACTGAAGCATTTCCCGCACTCCTCACACTTGTAGGGTTTCTCTCCTGTGTGGGTCCGCTGGTGCTTGACACACGCCCCGCTGTCAATGAAGCTCTTCCCGCACTCTGCGCACCGGAATGGCTTCTCCCCAGTGTGGGTCCTGCGGTGCGAATGGAGGCTCTCCTGCCGACTGAAGCTCTTTCCGCATTCGTTGCATCCGTAGGGCTTCTCCCCCGTGTGGACGCGGAAGTGGATGTCGAATTGGGCTTTGCAATTGCATACTCTCCCGCAGATGGGGCACGTCACCTGGCTGGACTCCTTGGCCTTGCCATGAGGAGCCCCCGAGTTGTTCTTCTTCTTCCCTCGCATTTTCGGTCCCTTCTGACTCCCAAATTCCTCTTTTCCCATAAGAGAGGGAGTCATTTCCCAAGGTGCCACATTTAGGTCCCCACAATTTTCACTCGCCTGCGCTTGACCTGTTTGAAGACATAGAAGATGCCATTAGAGGCAAAGCAGAGGAAACAAGGATCGCATTGAAGGTTCAACTGTGTGGGCCTTACTTTGAAAGTAGTTGTTCTAGAGCAGGCATGGCAAACCCAGGCCCAGGGGCAGGATGCGGCCCCTTGGGCTCTCTTCTCAGGTCTTCCTCTCTCTCACCATCCTATCCTTCCTTCCTTCCTTTCTTCCTTCCCTCTCTCCTTCCACCAGGATTGTGGCGCAGCTGGCTGAGTGTCAGCTGCATTAAGATCACTCTGACCAAAAGGTCATGAGTTCCAAGCCAGCCCGGGTTGGAGTGGGTTTCCAACCAATTGTGTGTAGCCTGTTGTCGACCTTTGCAACCCGAAAGACAGTTGCATCTGTCAAGTAGGAAAATAAGGTACCACCTTAAAGTGTGGGGAGCTAAATTAACTGATTTATGAGGCCATAAAGAAGACTCCAGCAAAAGCATTCCAGCGGGGAAGCATAAGTATTTCATCAGTGTCGCAGATAGACGATGAAAGCGACAGCTCCCCTGGTGGCCAGAAAAAGTTAAACAGCCTCTGTGTATGTCTGTATATGTTTGTATGTCAAAAATTGGCATTGAATGTTTGCCATATATGTGTACACTGTAATCCGCCCTGAGTCCCCTGCGGGGTGAGGAGAAGGGCGGAATATAAAAGCTGTAAATAATAAATAAATTCCATCCTTCCCTCCCTCCTTCCCTCCCTTCCTTCCCTTTCTCCTTTCATCCTTCCTTCCTTTCGTCTTTCCTTCCTTCCCTCCCATTCTCTTCCACCTTCCCTTCCTCCTTCTATCCTTCCTTCCTTACCTTCCCTCTTTCCTTCCTTCCCTCTTTCCTCCCTCTATCCCTTTCTCCTTCCTTCCCTTTTGCCTTTCCTTCCATCTCCCTTCCCTCCCTCCCATTCTCTTCCACCCTTCCTTCCTCCTCCTATCCTTCTCTTCCTCTTTCTCTTTTCATACTTTCCTTCCACTCTTTCATCTGCCCTTCCTTCCCTCTTTCCTCCGCTCCATCCCTCTATCCCTTTCTCCTTCCTTTCCTTTTGGCTTTCCTTCCTTCTCCCTTCCCTTCCTCCCATTCTCTTCCACCCTTCCTTCCTCCTTCTATCCTTCCCTTCTTCCTTTCATACTTTCCTTCCACTCTTTCATCCGCCCTTCCTTCCCTCTTTCCTCCCTCCATCCCTCTATCCATTTCTCCTTTCTTCCCTTTGTCTTTCCTTCCTTCTTCCTTCCCTCCCATTCTCTTCCAGCCCTCCTTCCTCCTCCTATCCTTCCCTTCCTTCCCTCTTTCTTCTTCCATACTTTCCTTCCACCCTTTTGTCCTTCCCTTCCTCTTTCTTCTTTCGTACTTTCCTTACACTCTTTCATCCGTCCTTCCTTCCCTCTTCCCTCCCTCCATCCCTTTCTCCTTCCTTCCCTTTTGTCTTTCCTTCCTTCTTCCTTCGGTCCCATTATCTTCCAGCCCCCCTTCCTCCTCCTATCCTTCCCTTCCTCTTTCTCCTTTGAAACTTTCCTTCTACCCTTTCATCCTTCCTTCCTTCCCTCTTTCCTCCCTCCATTCCCTTCTCCTTCCCTTTGTCTTTCCTTCCTTCTTCCTTCCCTCCCATTCTCTTCCAGCCCTCCTTCCTCCTCCTATCCTTCCCTTCCTTCCCTCTTTCTTCTTCCATACTTTCCTTCCACCCTTTTGTCCTTCCTTCCTTCTTTCCTCCCTCCATTCCTCTCTCCCTTTCTTCCCTTTTGTCTTTCCTTCCTTCTTTCCCATTCTCTTCCAACCCTCCTTCCTCCTCCTATCCTTCCTTCCTTCCCTCTTTCTTCTTCCATACTTTCCTTCCACCCTTTCATCCTTCCTTCCCTCTTTCCTCCATCCCTCTATCCCTTTCTCCTTCCTTCCCTTTTGTCTTTCCTTCCTTCCCTCCCATTCTCTTCCATCCTTCCTTCCTATAATAAAATAAAGTAAAGGAAAGGAAGGAAGGAAGGAAGAAAAGAGGAAGAAGGAAAGAAAGAAAGAAGAAAGAAAAAGAAGGAAGGAAAGAAAATAAAGAAAGGAGAGGAAGGAAGGAAGGAAGGAAGGAAGGAAGGAAGGAAAGGAAAGAAAGGAGGAAGGAAGGAAGGAAGGAAGGAAGGAAGGAGAGAAAGAAGAAAGAAGGAAGGGAAGGAGGGGAAAGGGGAAGGTAGTAAGAAAAGAAAGGCAGTAGGAAGATGGAAGGAAAAAGGGAAGAGGGGAGGGGGAGGAAGGAAGGAAGGAAGGAAGGAAGGAAGGACTTGATTACCCATCTAGGCAGATACCTGCCCCTTCCTCACCTTCCATGGAGCTGTGTCCAAAGGCATTCCTGGGCCCTTCTTCTGGGCTGAAGCTGAGATCTGGCTTGGGGTGGTCTTTCAAGAAGAAAGGAAGGGGAAAAAAGAAAGAAAGAAAAATTTTGGAAGTTAGAATTACATTATTATTATTATTATTATTATTATTATTACACTCATACAGTTGGACGGGACCCCTAAAGGACATCCAGCCCAGCCCGCTGCGATCATAAAGGAAGGCAGAATTGCATTACTATTATTATTACTATTATAATTAGGAAATATTAGACATAATAATGCATTAGAATAAATATATAATACATATAAAAACATTTTGCATTAGAGCTGAATAATAAAAATAGAAATAATAACATATATTATAGAACAGTGAAGACATCTGCCCTTGCGCTGTGAGGACCTCACAACTTCTGAGGATGCTTGCCATAGATACAGGCAAATGTCAGGAGAGAATGCTTCTAGAACATGGCTATATAGCCCGAAAAACCTACAACAACCCAGTGATTCCGGCCATGAAAGCCGGAATAAATATGTCATATATAAGGTAATGATATTAGAGTAATTATAATATAATCATAATTATGAAATAATAGACATAATAATGTATTAGAATAAATATATAATACATATAAAAACATTTTGCATTAGAGCTGAATAATAAAAATAGAAATAATAATAATAAACTATATTATGTAATGATAAGGCACTAATTATAGTATAATTACAATGTAATAACAGACATAATGTATTATAATAAATATAATAAATATAAAAACATTTTGCATTAGAGCTGAATAATAAAAATAGAAATAATAATAATAATAAATTACATTATGTAACATTATATAAACGCTGGATAATAATGGTAATTTAATTTTATAATACTAACTTAAGTATAAATATACTGATATATAATAATCAAAGTAGTAGAAATAATAGCATATTATATATTTTATATAAAAGTGGAATAAAATCAAAATGTCATATATAAGGTAATGCTACTATACTAATTATAATATAATTATATTTATGTAATACTAGACATAATAATGTATTATAATAAATAAATATAATATAATAAATATAAAAACATTTTGCATTAGAGCTGAATAAAAATAGAAATAATAATAAATTGCATTATGTAATATGACATGAATTATAATATAATTATAATTAAGTAATAATAGACATAATAATGTACTATAATCAATATAAAATATTTTGCATTAGAGCTGAATAATAAAAAAGAAATAATAACAAAATTACATTATGTAATGATATTACACTAGTTATTATAGTATAATTATAATTATGTAATAATAGACATAAGAATGGATGATAATAAATGCAATATAATAAATATACAAATTGCATTATGAAATGATATGACATGAATTATAGCATAATTATAATTATGTAATAATAGACATAATTATGTAATAATAGACATTTTTACATCTCTACCTTGCCCTGCCAGAGGCAACTGAAGCAAGGCATCCATTCAGCTCCCATCCAGGCACCTGGCACTTTAAAACTACATCTTGGCCAGTCAGGGGCAGCTGAAGCAAGGCGTCGCCTCAACTTCCGGTAAAGATGGCGCCGTGGTAGCCGTTGGACAATCAGACAATAGAACTAGCTGCTGCCAACGACCACCTTGCTACCATCTTAGAGTAGTGATTAACCTGTCGCCGTCACATGAAACTTCCATCATCCTACTTGCATTAACTCCGGAAAGATTGTGCTGACCATCTTTGGGCCTGATTACTGTGGCATCTCGTTGTGTTCAATTTTAGACAGAATTTTAGATAGTTTGTGTTGTCCATTGCTTAATTCATCTGTATTGACCGCCTTTGATTGTGTGGACCATCTCTTTGCTTGTGCTAATTACCCTCCTTTGTGCTGACCTCCTTTGACGTTATTAACCATCATTGACAGTGCTGACGACCTTTATAGTGTTAATAACAACAACTACTTTAGTGGCTGAACGGAGATTTTAAGATCTAATAGTTGTACTGCTAATAAGCAATTGTACAATTATTCTTTGTGATTTTAGCACTTTATCCGACCAGCACTTTAATTGACTACCTCTGTGGTTAAATTGGGCCAATAATTTATCGAGCCTCAGCACTTTAATTGACTCAACGAACCATCTAGCGGTTGCAAGTTAAGTCCTCCATGACGCATTTTACTTTGCACTTTAAAGCCGAGTAAGAAAGCCATTGCACTTTAGTTATTTATACCATCTTGAATTATCCATCTGCACTTTAAGAACTTTAGGTAAACCCCTCCGACAGCGTTTAACAGCTACCACTCATGACACTGCCCTGGCAGTTGTTAATTTTGTTGTTGATTGTTCATGGGGGAGAGTGGGAACGGAATAGATCTGTAAGACCTGAGTTTAATAAAGCGGGAGTGGAAAGTGGAGGGAAGGTAGAACTATGGCAATCTGAAGCCACAACATTTCATATAGTTAATAATGAATTGTCTGTTGATACTGTGGCCGTTCAATGCGTCATGGAGGAGGGAGAGGGTTCCGCTAACCGGGGAGCCCCCATAGAAGTCGTGGTGGGGAGGGGGAGATACGGGAAAGGGAGACCTTTAATTCGACCTAGGGAACGGGGGCGGGGAACAACGTTAGTAATTCCAAAACGGTCTCCTGATATGAGAAGTTGGTGTAACCAGGATGGCGGTCCCTCCGGATTGAAAGTGGTGCTGTTGAACGCCAGATCTGTCAATGGTAAAACAACTTTCATCCAGGATTTAATCCTGGATGAACGGGCAGATCTGGCGTGCATCACAGAGACCTGGTTGGACGAAGCGGGAGGTGTAAATTTAACCCAGCTTTGCCCACCAGGTTTCTCTGTGCAGCACCAACCGAGATCCGGAGGGCGGGGAGGTGGGGTTGCAGTGGTCTATAGAGATTCCATTCTTCTGACCAAGGCCCCCATCCCGCAGTCAACAAAATTTGAATGCGTCCACCTGAGGGTGGGTGACCGGGACAGATTAGGGATTCTGTTAGTGTACCGTCCACCTCGCTGCACTACAGACTCCCTGACTGAGCTAGCGGGGGTGGTCTCGGACCTGGCATTGGAGTCCCAACGGCTGCTTGTGCTGGGGGACTTCAATGTCCATGCCGAGGCCGCCCTATCGGGAGCGGCTCAGGACTTCATGTCTACCATGGCAACCATGGGGCTGTCCCAACAGGTATCTGGCCCCACCCACAGTGCTGGACATACATTGGACTTGGTTTTCTGTCAGGGATGGGGGGAAGGTGGCGGTGTTGAGGAGTTAACCATCTCTCCGTTGCCGTGGACTGACCACCACCTGGTCAGCTTTAGACTCACTGCACCCCCTAACCTCCGCAGAGGTGGAGGACCCATTAAATTGGTCCGCCCCAGGAGGCTTATGGATCCGGATGGATTCCTGACGGCTCTTGGGGAATTTCCCGCCACCTCGGTTGGTGATCCTGTCGATGCTCTGGTCGCTCTCTGGAATGGGGAGATGACTAGGGCAATAGACACGATCGCTCCAGAACGTCCCCTCTCAAGTAGCCGAGCTAAACCAGCTCCTTGGTTTACCGAGGAGCTGGCAGCGTTGAAGCGAAAGAAGAGGGAACTAGAGAGCGTGTGGCGCTCGGATCCGGGCGAGTCAAATCGAACACGGTTTGTGTCCTTTTTAAGGGCATATGCCGCGGCAATAAAGGCCGCAAAGAAAATTTTCTATGCGGCCACTATTGCGTCTGCAAAAAACCGTCCGGCTGAACTGTTCCGAGTTGTCAGAGGCTTATTAAAACCCACCATTCAGGATGGGTGCCCTGAGGACTCGGCAGCTCGCTGCGAAGCTTTGCTCGGTTCTTTGCAGACAAAGTCGCTTTGATCCGCTCTGGACTGGATACCATATTAACGGCAGTCTCTGAGGATGTAACATGAGCATCTGCTTGTCCGGTTTTGATGGATTCATTTCAATTGGTTCAATCCGAGGATGTGGACAAGGTGCTTGGAGGAATGAGAGCTACCACATGCATCCTAGACCCCTGCCCATCCTGGCTTCTCAAGGAGGCCAGAGGGGGATTGGCCGAGTGGGTGAAGGTGGTGGTTAATGCCTCCCTTCGGGAAGGCATATTTCCAGCCAGCTTAAAGCAAGCTGTGATAAAACCGCTGTTGAAAAAACCATCACTGGACCCCACTCAATTCGTCAAATATCGGCCTGTTTCCAATCTCCCCTTTTTGGGCAAAGTCATGGAACGTGTGGTGGCCTCACAACTCCAGGCATTCTTGGTAGACACGGATTATCTGAATCCGGCACAGTCTGGCTTTAGGCCGGGGCATGGTACCGCGACAGCCTTGGTCGCCTTAGTGGATGATCTGCGTCGGGAGCTCGACAGGGGGAGTGTGTCCCTGTTGGTGCTGCTCGACCTCTCAGCGGCCTTCGATACCGTCGACCACGGTATCCTTCTGGGACGCCTCGCGGGGATGGGGTTGGGAGGTACTGTTCTGCAGTGGCTCCACTCATTCCTCGAGGGTCGGTCTCAGAAGGTGTTACTGGGAGACTCCTGTTCAACCCCACAACCTTTGTCTTGTGGGGTTCCTCAGGGTTCAATACTGTCTCCCATGTTGTTTAACATCTACATGAAGCCGCTGGGCGAGATCATCCGGAGTTTCGGAGTGAGATGTCATCTGTACGCAGATGATGTCCAGCTCTGTCACTCCTTTCCACCTGCTACTAAGGAGGCTGTCGAGGTCCTGAACCGGTGCTTGGCCGCTGTGACGGTCTGGATGGGGGCGAACAAATTGAAATTGAATCCAGACAAGACAGAGGTACTCCTGGTTGTCGTAAGGCCGAACAGGGTATAGGATTACAGCCTATGTTGGATGGGGTCGCACTCCCCCTGAAGACAGGTTCGCAGTTTGGGTGTGATCCTGGACTCATCGCTGAGCCTGGAACCCCAGGTTTCGGCGGTGACCAGGGGAGCATTCGCACAATTAAAACTTGTGCGCCAACTGCGACCGTACCTTGGGAAGTCTGACTTAGCCACGGTAGTCCACGCTCTGGTTACATCCCGCCTTGATTACTGCAACGCTCTCTACGTGGGGTTGCCTTTGAAGACAGCCCGGAAGCTCCAACTAGTCCAACGGGCGGCAGCCATGGTACTAACAGGAGCAGGGCGCTGGGAGCACACAACTCCTTTGCTGCACCAGCTCCACTGGCTGCCGATATGCTACCGGGCTCAATTCAAAGTGCTGGTTTTGGCCTTTAAAGCCCTAAACGGTTCTGGCCCAACTTATCTATCCGAACGTATCTCAGCCTATCAGCCCACCAGGACCCTAAGGTCTTCTGGAGAGTCCCTGCTCTCTATCCCACCGGCTTCCCAAGTGCGGCTGGCGGGAACGAGAGACAGGGCCTTTTCTGTGGTGGCCCCTCGGCTTTGGAACACCCTCCCTATAGAGATACGATCAGCCTCTTCGCTGATGGTGTTTCGGAAGAGATTAAAAACATGGTTGTTTAAACAAGCATTCGGTTAATCCGTTGTAATCGAATGTTGATGACTAAAGGACTGGTAATCATGGACGACGAATTTTGGATTGGGATTTTTGTTACGAGATGCATGGGATTATTATTGGTGGCCCAATAATTTGTATTGTCTATGTGTTGTTGTTTTAAATTGTATATTGTTTTTAATTGTTGTAAACCGCAATGAGTCGCCGACTTAGGCTGAGATATTAGCGGTATACAAGTGTATAAAATAAAATAAATAAATAAATAAAATAATAAAGTATTATAATCAATATAAAAACATTTTGCATTAGAGCTGAAGAATAAAAATAGAAATAATAATAATAAACTACATTATGTAATGATATGACACTAATTATAGTATAATCATAATTATGTAATAATAGACATAATAATGTATTATAATAAATACAATATAATAAATATAAAAATATTTTGCATAATAGCTGAATAATAAAAATAGAAATAATAATAATAAATTGCATTATGTAATGATATGACACGAATTATGGCATAATTATAATTATGTAATAATAGACATAGTAATGTATTATAATCAATATAAAACATTTTGCATTAGAGCTGAATAATAGAAATAGAAATAATAATAATTACATTATGTAATATTACACTAATTATAGTATAATTATAATTATGTAATAATAGACAGAATAATGTATTATAATAAATATAAAAACATTTTGCATTAGAGCTCAATAATAAATAGAGAAATAATAATAATAAATTACATTATGTAATGGTATTACACTAATAATAATATAATTGTAATGTAATAACAGACATAATAATAAATGCAATAAATATAAAACATTAGAGCAGAATAATAAAAATAGAAATAATAATAACATTATGTAATGATATGACACTAATTAGAGTATAATTATAATTATGTAATAACAGACACAATATATTATAATAAATATAAAAACATTAATAACAGACATAATGTATTATAATAAATATAATAAATATAAAACATTTTGTATTAGAGTTCAATAATAAATAGAGAAATAAAAATAATTGCATTATGTAATGATATTACACTAATTATAGTATAATTATTATAATAATGTATTATAATAAATATAAAAACATTTTGCATTAGAGTTCAATAATAAATAGAGAAATAATAATAATAAATTACATTATGTAATGATATTACACTAATTAGAGGGAAATTATAATTATGTAATAACAGACATAATAGTGTATTATAATAAATATATTGCAAAATAAATATTATATTTATAAGTATACTATAAATATATTGTATTCATATTATAAAGTATTATATTATATTATAAATATACAATAATAATAATAATAGACATAATAATGTATTATAATAAATATAAAACATTTTGCATTAGAGCTGAATAATAAATAGAGAAATAATAATAATAAATTACATTATGTAATGGCATTACACTAATTAGAGGGAAATTATAATTATGTAATAACAGACATAATAGTGTATTATAATACATACAATATATTCTATATTGCAAAATAAATATTATATTTATAAGTATTTATACTATAAATATATTGTATTCATATTATAAAATATTATATTATATTATAAATATATAATAATAATAATAGACATAATAGTGTATTATAATAAATATAATATATTCTATATTGCAAAATAAATATTATATTTATAAGTATTTATACTATAAATATATTGTATTCATATTATAAAATATTATATTATAAATATATAATAATAGACATAATAATGTATTATAATAAATATAAAACATTTTGCATTAGAGCTGAATAATAAATAGAGAAATAACAATAATAAATTACATTATGTAATGATATTACACTAATTAGAGGGAAATTATGTAATAATAGACATAATAATGTATTATAATAAATACAATATATTCTATATTGCAAAATAAATATTATATTTATAAGTATTTATACTATAAATATATTATAAATATTCATATTATAAAATATTATATTATAAATATATCATAAGATAATATAAAATTATTATAAAATAAAATATAAAATATAAAATAAAATATAAAATAAATATAAATATATAAAAAAATTAGATATAATATAAAATAAATAAAATAAAAATATAATAAATATTAAAATATATAAAATAAAATATAAAATATAAAAATAATAAAATATAAAATATATAAAATAAAATAAGATATATAAAATAAAATATAAATATAAAATAAAATATAAAATATAATAAAATAAATATAAAATAAAATAAAATATAAAAATAAATATAAAATAATAAAATAAATAAAAATATAAAATAAAAATATAAAATAAAATAAAAAATATATAAAATAAAATATAAAATAAAATAAAATATAAATAAAAATATAAAAATATATAAAATAAAATAAAATATAAATAAAATATAAAATATAAAAAAAACATAAAAAAATATAAAATAAATATAAAATATATATAAAATATAAAATAAAATATATAAAAATAAAAATAAAATAAAAATAAAAATATAAAAATAAAAATATAAAATAAAATATAAATATAAAAAATATAAAATATATAAAATAAAATAAGATATATAAAATAAAATATAAAATATAAAATAAAATATAAAATATATAAAATAAAATAAAATATATAAAATAAAAAATAAAATAAAAAATAAAAAATATATAAAATAAAAATATAAAATAAAATATAAAATATAAAATAAAATATAAAATATATAAAATAAAATATGAAAGCTGCATAATAATAAATAATAACATTATTATACATTACTCTAAATGTGCTTGAGATCTGCTTCCTCCCCAAAATTAGCATATTCCTGCCTCATTTGCATCTCCTTTCACCTTGTCTTCCTCCTCTCCTTTGTGCTGAACCTCCCAGCTCTAAACACACACTCACTTCCGGTCTCTCTAGGAAGACATCCGCCAGCTCTCTGCCTCCCTTCGGCCTCGGAGGGCCACGTGCTCGCCTCGGCCCCGCCCCCTTCCCAACGGTCGCGCCGCCGTGGCCCCGCCCCTTGGCCAATCACAAACAGAGGCTACCCCAAAGGTCTTTTGGAGGACTCCATTACCCAGAAGCCTCTCTCATTGGCCGAAGCAGCGGAGGCTTCTGGGAGTTGGAGTCCCAAACCTCCTGGCGGGCTTTAAAAGGAGCTTGGGGCTCCATCCTTGCAAAAGCGTCCAGGCGGGATGGAAGGAAGGTGAGTGGTTATTAGTATAATATATTATTAGTATAATATATTATTATTATTATTATTAGCTAGGGAATTGTAATTGCTTATTGTAATTGCTTATTGGTAATTTATGGATAATGTGTTAAGTCAATTGTTATATGTTGTATGGAACCACTGCTGTTTCTACTGTTTTTACTGTTTGTGAACCGCTGTGAGTCGCCTTCGGGCTTGAGATACAGCGGTATATAAGCAAAGTAGTAAATAAATAAATAAATAAATAATAGAGGATAGAATTACATTATTATTATTATTATATATTATTATTATTTATTAGCTAGGGAATCATACAAGATAGAATTATATGTTATTATTAATAGAATTGCATTATTATTATTATTATTATTAGGTAGGGAATCAAAGAAAATAGAATTACATTATTATTATTATTATTATTATTATTAGCTGGGGAATAATAGAAAATAGAATTACATTATTATTAGCTAGGGAATAATAGAATATGGAATTTCATTATTATTATTAGCTAGGGAATAATAGAAAATAGAATTATATTATTAGTATAATATATTATTAGTACAAATATTATTATTATTATTATTATTATTATTATTATTATTAGCTAGGGAATAATAGAGGATAGAATTACATTATTATTATTAGATAGGGAATCATAGAAAATAGAATTATATTATTATTATTATTATTAGATAGGGAATCATAGAAATTATTATTATTATTATTATTAGGTAGGGAATCATAGAAAATAGAATTACATTATTATTATTATTAGGTAGGGAATCATAGAAAATAGAATTACATTATTATTATTATTGTTTATTACCTAAGGAATGATAGAAGGTATATTTACATTATTATTATTATTATTATTATTATTATTATTATTAGCTGGGGAAACATAGAAGATAGAATTACATTATTATTATATTTTTATTATTATTAGCTGGGGAATCATAGAAAATAAAATTACATTATTATTATTATTATTATTAGCTGGGGAATAATAGAAAATAGAATTACATTATTATTATTAGCTAGGGAATTATAGAAAATAGAATTACATTATATTATTACTATTATTATTATTATTATTATTTATTAGCTAAGGAATGGTAGAAGGTAGATTTACATTATTATTATTATATTATTATCTGGGGAATAATAGAAAATAGAATTACATTATTATTATTATTATTATTATTATTAGCTGGGGAATAATAGAAAATAGAATTACATTATTATTAGCTAGGGAATAATAGAATATGGAATTTCATTATTATTATTAGGTAGGGAATAATAGAAAATAGAATTATATTATTAGTATAATTATTATTAGTACAATATATTATTATTATTATTATTATTATTATTAGCTAGGGAATAATAGAGGATAGAATTACATTATTATTATTAGATAGGGAATCATAGAAAATAGAATTATATTATTATTATTATTAGATAGGGAATCATAGAAATTATTATTATTATTATTATTAGGTAGGGAATCATAGAAAATAGAATTACATTATTATTATTATTAGGTAGGGAATCATAGAAAATAGAATTACATTATTATTATTATTGTTTATTACCTAAGGAATGATAGAAGGTATATTTACATTATTATTATTATTATTATTATTATTATTAGCTGGGGAAAACATAGAAGATAGAATTACATTATTATTATATTTTTATTATTATTAGCTGGGGAATCATAGAAAATAAAATTACATTATTATTATTATTATTATTAGCTGGGGAATAATAGAAAATAGAATTACATTATTATTATTAGCTAGGGAATTATAGAAAATAGAATTACATTATATTATTACTATTATTATTATTATTATTATTTATTAGCTAAGGAATGGTAGAAGGTAGATTTACATTATTATTATTATATTATTATCTGGGGAATAATAGAAAATAGAATTACATTATTATTATTATTATTACTATATTTTATTGTTATTAGCTCTGTAGTTTGGTCCAATTCTATCTTTAGTGGAGTTCAAAGTGCTCTTCGGTTTGCACGTGAACTATAAATCCCAGTAGCTACAACTCCAAAATGGCCAGGCCAATTCCCCGCAAAACCCACCAGTATTTCAGTTTGGGCATATTGGGTATACTGCCAAGTTTGGTCCAGATCCATCATTGTTTGGGTTCATTGTGACTCTGGATGTAGGTGGACTACAACTCCTATAAATCCCTTCAAAGACTTCCAGTATTTGTTGTTGGTCATGGGGGTTCTGTGTACCAAGTTAGTTCCATGTCCGTTGTTGTGGAGTTCAAAGTGCTCTTAGATCGCAGGTGAACTATAAATCCTGGTACCTACAACTCCTTTGATTCATGGTGAATTCTCCCCCAACCTTTCTAGTATGTTCAGTTTGCTGTGTGCCATAGAAAAGAACAGGAAGGGGTTAAGGGAGAGGCAGTGGGCAGGGCCATGCAAATTCCACTCCAATAAAGCAAGTCAGAAATACTGGGATGTCTTTGGTGGAGGAAACACATAAAATCTAGGATGAAATTGTCCCTGCTTGATAGCCTTCACTTGGGTGGTGGGCACTATGGTTGTTTTTTGTTTGTTTCTTTTGGTGTCAGGAGTGACTTGAGAAACTGCCAGTCGCTTCTGGTGTGAAAGAATTGGCCGTCTGCAAGGACGTTGCCCAGGGGATGCCCGGATGTTTTGATATTTTACCATTCCGGTGGGAGGCTTCTCTCATGTCATCGCATGGGGAGCCGGAGCTGACAGAGGGAGCTCATCCGCGCTCTCCCCAGTTTCGAAACTCCGACCTGTCAGAGTTGGCATAAGGGCTTAACCCATCGCGCCACTGGGGACTCTGTCACTGTGGTGTTTGTGGAGAGCATTGCCAGGGCTCTTGTACATGTTCATGGTGCTCACTATAATCTGCAATGTCATTGGAGGGAGGGCCCAGTATAGTTGTTTGTGGAGGCCAGAGCTTGTCTGTGTAAGTGGACACCCTGGCCACATACACACATACATATTTTCACTTTTATATGTGTATAGATATGTGTAGACTGTAGACTATGTGAATGTTGTAGGCATTTATTTATTTATTTACCTTACTTATATGCTGCTGTTCTCAGCCCGAAGGCGACTCACAGCGGTGTACAACAAACAACAACAGCAAGAATTCAATGCTAAGTATAAAAACAATTAACAGCCTACACATTACACAGTTAATAAACAATTACTACAGAAGCCATTCACTATCGTCTCATCATCAGAAACATGATCCAAATTCGTCATCCATTGTTCCATTCCATTGTTCGTTAACCAAGCATTGCACTAATTATTCAAACGCCTGCTCAAACAGCCAGGTCTTTAGTTTTCTACGGAATACCATTAGGGATGGTGCTAATCTAATGTCATGGCATGGTTAGGTTTGGTCGGAATCGTCGTAATTCGGAATAAATTTGGAAAAATTTGCTTTTTGAAGCGATTTCAACGTTTTTAAGGAAACTCTCGCAACTCAGGGTAGTTTTCACCTTGCTCAAGACACCACCACACACCAAGGCTGCAGTTTTGTAGTTTATTGAGAGAAAGCAAAGTCAAAACAGAGAAATAAAGATGCAAAAGTTCAATAGGCAAAACAGAGTCTTAAATGCAAAGGCAAGGTTCCCAAGATCCACAGACAAATAACATGAAGCATAATCCCTTAGCAATGGTCAAACAAGAGTCCATGGTAAACAGGTAAAATCAGGATCAGAATCCCAGTCTCCAAGAAGCCAGAAGCGTTCCGCAAAACCCAAGGTAATTCCACAGAAGTTAACAGGTAAGAAGCAACATTGGACTGACAAGAAATGCCTGTCAGCTACATCATTAAATAAGTTTCCCTGACATGAAAGCATTGCGTTGACCTTTGGCTTCCCTCTTACTAGCAAGGCGTGTGCTTCTGCGAACCCTTAATTGCAAACGGTCCTGTCTGCTCATTAATTCACCATTATCTTCAAGGCTATACAACTCCTTATCTCGGCCCAGCTGGGCCGGATCAGTCTGGGAACCGAAAGGAGTCTCCACCTGCACTTGTGGGATTTCACTGTCTCTTTCTAAAGGCACATTCCTTGCCCCGGGTAACAGGCTTGCTGTTTCTTCTTCAGAAGGCACACTATCAGCCCCATCTGGAGCATGTACAGGAATCTGTAACCCATCAGCCTCCTCGTCATCCTGCAGAAAGTCAGGCTCAGAAGGCCCATCAAGCCCAAAAGGCCCAAACAGTTCAGTTTCAGACTCAGACTGAGCCACAACAGAATCCGGAAGGCCCTTTGCCCTTCCGAAGCTTTTTCCACCATTTTTGTTACGAAGCGGTGAGTTGGAAATGATTAAGCTTTTCTCCACTTCTGGTCTCAAGCCTGGGAAGCGTTTTAAACCAGAGTGGATGGATTTCCTGCCTTTGCTTCCCCCCCCCCCCCTTTCTGGAGTAAAACAACTACTTTCAAAGTAAAGACCACCCAATGAAACAGGAAATAACACTTTCAAACCATTAACAAAATTCAGAAGTCTTGGAAGTTTCGAAAAGTTTTGAACATTTTTTTCTTTGAAAATCGGAATTGACTTCCGAATCGAACCACATCTGAAACGACTTTTGAACCATTTTTTGGATCAAACAAGTCTAGAATGTTGCAATTAGCAAGCTTGATTAGCATTGAGTAGCCTTGCAGCTGCAAAACCAACTGGCACTTGTTTGCTTGCTGTCTGGAGTTCCCCTGTTTCTGAGTGGTGTTCTTTATTTACTGTCTTGATTCAGTACTGGTATCCAGATTTTGTTCATTTTCACAATTTCCTCCTTTCTCCATGAGCTTTTTGTGAATTTCCATGGCTTCTCTGTGTAGTCTGACATGGTGGTTGTGAGAGTGGTCTAGCATTTCTGTGCTCTCAAATAATATTCTGTGTCCAGGTTGGTTCATCGAGTGCTCAACTATGGCTGGCTTCTCAGGTTGTGTGAGGGCCCTTCCACACAGCCGTATAATTGATAATCCACAATATCTGTTTTGAACTGGGTTATTTGAGTCTACACTGCCATATAATCCTGTTCAATGTGGATTTTATACAGCTGTGTGGCAGGGGCCTTAAATCTGCAGTGCCTTTCCTGTTCCTTGATTCGTGTCTGGGCAATGCTGTGTTTGGTGGTCCTTCTGTAGACTTGTCCACATCTGCATGGTATGCGGGAAACTCCTGCAGAAGTGAGAGGATCCCTCTTGTCCTTTCCTGAGTGGAGCATTTGTTGGATTTTCTTGGTGGGTCTGGAGATAGTTTGGAGGTTGTGTTTTCTCATCAGCTTCCCTATGTGGTCAGTGGTTCCCTTGATGTATGGCGAGAACACTTTTCCTTGGGGTGAATTTTACTCTCATGGCTTGACCTTGGTTTTGCAGCTCTTCTGATGTCTGTCGTGGAATACATACCTGTTGGCCTGTAGAGCCCAGTATAGGTGGTGCAGTTCCCCTTGGAGGAGGTATTTATTTATCGTGTCAGGAGCAACCAGACGTTTGTATTACATTTTTAACAAAACAAACAAACAGACAGACAGACAAAATGCAACCTTGGTAGTTGATTAAATGTCCTTTGACCAGTATCTGGCCACTGGGAGTGCCTCTGGTGTGGCTGCAAGGAGGTCCTCCCTTGTGCATGTGGCAGGGCTCAGGTTGCATTGCAGCAGGTGGTCAGTGGTTTGCTCTTCTCCGCACTCGCATGTTGTGGATTCTGTCAGGATAATTGCAAGTATTATATGTATGTTTTTCAGCGTGTTAATAATGTATTTCAAGATGGATTCAGTCATGTTCATTCTTGTTCATTTGTGAAGTAGATTATTATTGTTATAGGCCAGAGAGTAGAGTCCTTGAGACTGAGATAACAGGAATTCCTTTTGCCCTGAGAAGAATAGGGAGTGTACCAGCTAGAAGATAGATAAGGCAGGAGGGTGGATCTTTCTTTTGTCTGTGTGTTGTATGCTGTACTTTCGTCTGTCGCCATTTTTCATCTGAAAGATGTAGTCGCTTATAGAAAATGCTGTCAGTAAACTTTGTTGTTTTTGAAACTAAAGAAGACTGCAGTGTGGTAATTGAGTCTGTGTGATCTGGAAACCTCAAGTCCGCTGTGCCAGACTGGAGGGTCTCACTCTGACAAATTCCACTTTGTGGCCCCATTTCTGAAGGTTGGCTCTGCATCTCATGGTGCCAGAGTGCAATCTGTTCAGCGCCTTCTCTCACTCTAGAAGCGCAGAAGCGATGGCATTCTCAGATCCTGTTTGCACCGCCTACCAGGGCTTTGGTTGTGCCTCTTTTTTAACCTGGGTGATGGTTGGAGTTTTTATGTGGATATCTATCAGTGTGTGTCAGTTTTTTGTAGCCTGTGTGGCCCAATTATTGGTTGGGTTTGCAGATGAAAAGATCTTTGGGTTCTCGTGGACAACAAGTTAAACATGAGCCAACAATGTGATGTGGCAGCGAAAAAAGCCAATGGGATTTTGGCTTGCATCAATACGGGTATAGTGTGTAGATCTAGGGAAGTCATGCCATCCATGCTCTTTTCTGCCTTGGTTAGATCACACCTGGAATATTGTGTCCCGTTCTGGGCACCACAATTCAAGAGAGATATTGACAAGCTGGAATGTGTCCAGAGGAGGGCGACTAAAATGATCAAGGGTCTGGAGAACAAGCCCTATGAGGAGCGGCTTAAGGAGCTGGGCATGTTTAGCCTTAAGAAGAGAAGGCTGAGTGGAGATATGATGAGGGCCATGTATAAATATGTGAGAGGAAGTCATAGGGAAGAGGGAGGAGGCATGTTTTCTGCTTCCCTGGAGGCTAGGACATGGAGCAATGGCTTCAAACTACAAGAAAGGAGATTCCATCTGAACATGAGGAAGAACTTCCTGACTGTGAGAGCCGTTCAGCAGTGGAACTCTCTGCCCCGGAGTGTGGTGGAGGCTCCTTCTTTGGAAGCTTTTAAACAGAGGCTGGATGGCCATCTGTCAGGGGTGCTTTGAATGCAATATTCCTCCTTCTTGGGAGAATGGGATTGGACTGGATGGCCCAGGAGGTCTCTTCCAACTCTAGGATTCTATGATCAAGGCCCCTTCCACACAGCTGAATAAAATCCCACATTATCTGCTTTGAACTGGAATATATGACTCAGATTACCCAGTTCAAAACAGATACTGTGGGATTTTCTGCCTTGATATTCTGGATTCTATGACTGTGTGGAAGGGACTTTGTGCATCTAGAAACGGTAGTTTCCCTTCGTTTTCTTTTTCCATGGTAAATTGGATGTTTGGTTGGATGCTGTTGATGTGGTCCAGAAACTTGTTCAGTTCTTCTTCTCCATGGCTCCAGATGGTGAAGGTGTCATCCACATATCTGAACCATATAGTGGGCTTTTATGGTTCTGTTTCCAGGGCTTGTTTCTCCAAGTGTTCCATGTAAAGATTTGCTGTAACTGGGCTGAGAGGGCTCCCCATGGCTACGCTATCTTTCAGTTCATAGAATTCATTGTCCCACTGGAAGTAGCTGGTGGCGAGGCAATAGTGAAATACGACTGTGTTGTCTTCTGGGAAATTCTGGTTGATGAGTGTGATTGTCTCTGCTATGGGGACCGACATTTTCCCCGGAAAAATAATAATATAATTTGTTATTTGGATCCCAGTTGGTTGCTCTGACCTGAATTGGTTATAAATATTGAGATCTCACCTTGGCTTATAAGTAATAATAGAATAGAATGTGCATAATGGCCTCTATGTTCATTCTTCCATGATGAGGGATTTTTTCAAATAATAATAATAATCTAGAAAATACACTTCGCACCCCTGTGCAGAAGTAATAGTAGCTGTAGCAGCAGCAGCAGCAGTAAATATAGAAAACACACTATGCATCCTGAAATAATTTGGGAATAATAATACTATACTGTCTTGGAGATGGAACCCAAGCTTAAATAACAATTATTATTATTATTATTATTATTATTATTATTATTATTATTATTATTATTTTACTGACACAAAAACACAGTATGTCACAGCAAACAAGATCTCTATGCTGGATTTCGTATCACAAAATCACAAGTCGAACATTTCCCAAGCGTCTAGGACTGTGTCATGTATTTTCAAATGATGCATGCAGATCCAAGTCAGGTGGCCTTTGGCAGTTGACAGATCGTGATTATGTCAATGTTTATAGAATCATAGAATCATAGAATCAAAGAGTTGGAAGAGACCTCATGGGCCATCCAGTCCAACCCCCTGCCAAGAAGCAGGAATATTGCATTCAAATCACCCCTGACAGATGGCCATCCAGCCTCTGCTTAAAAGCTTCCAAAGAAGGAGCCTCCACCACACTCCGGGGCAGAGAGTTCCACTGCTGAACGGCTCTCACAGTCAGGAAGTTCTTCCTAATGTTCAGATGGAATCTCCTCTCCTCTTTATGGTTTCCAAATTCTGGCTGAGACCTTTTGGAACAGCACCCAGTGTGCCAATGACCACTGGGACCACCTGTAGTTTTTCGTCAATGCGACTGTCACCTGGAATGACGACATCAATAATCCAGACTTTCTTCTTTTCCACAAACGTGATGTCTGGCGTATTGTGTTCCAAAACTTTGTCAGTCTGGATTCGAAAGTCCCACAGTATTTTTGCATGTTCATTTTCCATGACCTTTGCGGGTTTATGATCCCTTTACCAATTCTTTGCTGCTGGCAGGTGGTCCTTGGGACATAAGTTCTAGTGAATCATCTGGGCCACAGAGTTGTGCCTCTGTTTATAGTCCGTCTGTGTGATTTTCTTGCAACTGCTGAGGATATGGTCCATGGTTTCATCCGCTTCCTTGCACAGTCTGCATTTTGGGTTATCCGCTGATTTTTCAATCCTGGCCTTAATGGTCTTTGTTCTGATGGCTTGCTCCTGAGCTTCAAGAATCAGGCCTTCTTCTGTCGCCTTCTTCAGGGTTCCATTCGTGAGCCATCACCAGATCTTCTCCTTGTCAATTTTTCCTTCAATTTTGTCAAGGAACTGCCCATGCAATGTTTTGCTGTCAGATCTAGTTTGGAGTGCAGTTCTTGTACTGGTTCTTTGTCTCCTGTACTTTGAGAAGTTTCTGATTGTTGATTTCAATTAAAGCAGGTTCTTGGCTTTCCTTTACAGATTCTGCCAGGGCGTGTTATTATTATTGTTGTTATTGTTGTTTTCCTCTTTTTTCAACAGGTAACGGGCAAGGCAGTGAGAGTGACTGGGAAGCAGCCCTGAAATCCTCAAAAATGAGTGAGCATCCAACAGGGAAAGAGCCTTTGGGAAATCAAAAGAGAGGAAACCAAGTCAAGAAGGGGAAAAAGAAACCTCTCACTTCTCAAGAGTCCGACACCTGGGAACCTCCGACTCCCCAGAAGACTCTCAAAGGCAAAAGGAGAAGTAAGTGTCCTGTCTGTGGGAAAAGATATTTGCGATTAACGATACACTCCAGGTGCCACACAAGCGAAGAACTCAACAGAGTCTCCTCAAGTGAAAAGCCACATCAGTGCACAGAATGCGGAAGGAAATTCCGTTTAAGGGGAAACCTGGAATCTCATCAGAGGATCCACACAGAGGAGAAGCCCTATGAATGCAAGAAATGCGGAAAGTGCTTCTCTCAGAGCAGAGACTTGCGTTCCCATTGGAGAAGCCACACAGAAAAGGACTCGTATATATGCAGGGAATGCGGAAAGAGCTTGAAGTCCTACGCAAGCCTGTATTCGCATGAGAAAACCCACAGGGAGAAACCCTTTGCGTGCGTAGAGTGCGGAAAGCACTTTGTTTTGAAGACTGCCCTCATAATACACCAGAGGACCCACACGGGGGAGAAACCGTACAAATGTGCGGACTGCGGAAAGAGCTTCTCTCAGGCTGGGAATCGGGATATGCATCAGAAAATCCACAGAAGTGAGAAGCCGTATAAATGCCTGGAATGTGGGAAGAGATTCCTTTTGAAGAGTATGCTGCGGTCACATGAGAAGGTCCACACTGGGCAGAAACCTTACAAATGCCTGGAGTGTGGGAAAAGCTTTGCTCAGAGCACACATCTCCGCGGGCACCAGAGGACCCACACAGGGGAGAAGCCACATCAGTGCTCTGAATGCGGGAAGGAATTCAGATGGAAAAGGTCTCTGAGCTTTCATGAGAGGATCCACACAGGAGCAAAACCATACAAATGCACGGCCTGCGGAATGTGCTTCAGACACAGTGGATCCCTACAACTGCATGAGAAGGTCCACACGGGAGAAAAGCCACACCAGTGCAAGGAATGTGGAAAGAGCTTCATTCGGAAGGACCACTTGCGCCTCCATGAGAGAACCCACACTGGGGAGAAGCCCTATAAATGCATGGAGTGCGGAAAGACCTTTTCTCAGAGCGGAAATCTGCAGTTACATAAAAGAATCCACACAGGAGAGAAACCTCATAAATGTACAGAGTGTGGAAAGAGCTTCAGCTCTGTTCAATCCCTAGTACTACACAAAAGAATCCACACAGGGGAGAAACCCTATATGTGCCTGGACTGTGGGAAAAGCTTCACGCAGAATTCAAATCTCTGTAAACATCAAAGAACCCACACAGGGGAGAAACCCTACAAGTGCCTAGACTGCGGGAAATGCTTCAGTTTGAGCGATGGTCTCCGTTTACATCAAAGGACCCACACAGGGGGGAAGCCATATCAGTGCTCAGAATGCGGAAAGGAATTCAGATGGAAAAGGTCTCTGAGCTTTCATGAGAGAATCCACACGGGAGCAAAACCATACAAATGCACTGCCTGCGGGATGTGCTTCAGACACAGTGCATCCCTACGCAAGCATGAGAAGCTCCACACAGGAGAAAAACCACACCAGTGCAAGGAATGTGGAAAGAGTTTCACTTTGATCGGCCAACTGCGCCTCCATGAGAGAACCCACACCAGGGAGAAGCCCTATAAATGCACGGAGTGTGGAAATAGCTTTTCTCATAGTGGATATCTATGTTTACATAAGAGAACCCACACAGGGGAGAAACCTTATAAATGTACAGAATGCAAAAAGAGCTTCAGCCTTAGACATTACCTAGTACTATAACAAAAGAATCCACACTGGGGAGAAACCCTACATGTGCCCAGAGTGCGGGAAAAGCTTCACGCAGAGTTCACATCTCTCTAAACATCAAAGGACCCACACAGGGGAGAAACCCTACAAGTGCATAGACTGCGGGAAATGCTTCAATTCAAGCAACCAACTCCGTTTACATCAAAGGACCCACACAAGGCAGAAGACGTGCTAAAGCATCGGATGTGGAAGGAGTTTCAACGGGGATAATGGGCAAACTTCAACCAGATCACGTACAATGAGGAGAAGTGATACTACAACAGGCCCAGAAATATTGGACTTAGATACACAGGATGGTGGACGATTTTGCCAAAGTTAAATTGACAAGGAAGCCTGGACTATATTTGTTGGGGATGCTAGATGACCAATTAGAAAAGAACACAGAGAATTAATTACTGCTCTATATAACCACAGTGGCAAGAATGTTATGAACCCAAATGGTTCCTGTTCTTTTGACGCAGAGTGTTCAAGGAATAGTGATGTATATTGTATGAATGAGGCACTTCAGAGACCAAAATTGGTTTTAATACTTTTCATGTAACATTCATGGAGCATAATCACTTTAGAATCACATCAGAATCACATCAAGAGAGAGCTCTCATCCATTCATCTCAAAGCATACTCACACACAGAATCACATCAAGAGAGGCCTCTCCGGGCACACAGTGAGCCTGCATGACCTACTCTACATCCTGGAATTTGGAGATGGATGATGGGACTTGCAGTAACTTCACTCACTTCCTGAAACCACTGAGACCCTCACCAGTGACTGATCAAGATCAAACTTGGCACACAGAGCCCCCATGATCCACTCTACATCCTGGTGCACTTTCGAGGAGGACAGACTATGGATGATGGGACTTCAAGTACCTCCACTCACTTCCCAAGACTGTTGCCACCCTCATCCAATGACCGATCAAGACCAAACTTGACACACAGAGCCCCCGTGAGCCACTACATCCTGGTGCTGTTTGGAGGAGGACGAACAGTGTATGATGGGACTTGCAGTACCTTCACTCACTTCCTGAAACCACAGTGACACTCATCCAAATACCAATAAAGACCAAACTTGGCACAGAGAGCCCCCATGGCCAACTCAACATTCTGGTGAAGTTTGGAGGAGAACAGACTATGGAAGATGATCAGCTTTCTCCGAGAGGGTTGGACGCTTTAGTTGCTGTGGTTCCTGAAAGTGTGCTTGGTCTTGGAAGTCCCCTGCATTTATAGTCTGCAGTTACTCTTTAACATGTTGTTCCGCTCTTGTGATTTCAGAACACTCTTTTTCGTCAATGCAAAGACAGACATCTTAGTCTTACCTAGGTCACAATCTAGTACCCCATTAAAATCCCCTAAAATTATCAGACTTTTGTATTTCCGCTCTTGACTATTCCTCTTTAGTTGTTTTATAAATTGCGATTTGGCACCTGTTGGGGCATATATGTTGTAGATTAGGGTTTTCTGATAATTCATTTTTGCTTTAATCCCTACCATCCTACCCTCCTGATCTTTAAATTCCAATGTGGCCTCCATTTTTTCCTTTGTGTATATCACTACCCCTCTTTTTTGTAATGCTGAGGAGTAGAATTCATTGCCCAATTGTTTCTGAAACAAATAGGAGACCTTCTCCTGTGAGATATGCATCTCTTGTAAGGTGATTAAATAATAGTTTTCTTTAATTGATTATATATTATTTTCCTTTTATTTGGTGTGTTTAGTCCATTTACATTATTCAAAAATATTGACACACATTGTCTGATTCTTTGTTGAGTTCATTCTGTTTCTCCTCGTCCTTGTCTTGGGATTCTTCGTATATCCGGGGAGTCATGTCTAGGTCTTTTTTTCTCTTTCATTTCATCTCCTTTCCATTACAGTTTCCCTGTTTCTGGTTTATTGTTGGGTTCCTTATCCTTTTTTCCATGCCTCGGATTCTTTTCCAAATCCCTCTTGAATTCTTTATAAAATTCCTTTGTTTTTCTTTGTTATTAACCAGTACTTTCTTTGAACATCACCAGAATTCCATCTGTCCTCTCCCATCTAAATTTTATTTGGTGCTTTTTAGCTTCATCTGTGAGAAAGTAGTACTTTCGTCTTTTATTCATTGCTGATGGAGTGAATTCTTACAAGATTACTATTTTTTTCCCCTTTGTAATATGTTGGTTCTCATGAGTTGTTTCAGAGTAGCTCTTTTTCTTTCAAAGTGTACACTAATGTCTCCAGCTACCTTATTTCTCCTTGCATAATTCGTATTGATTCGATATAGTTGGTCAATATTTCGGTCCATTTCTCCTGCTGTGATATCTAACATTTGATATCTAATAAAATCCCCTATTTTGTCTTTTTCCCTTTAATGTTTTATCCATTACTTTTTTTAAAAAAATTGGAAATTTCTTTTCCATTACAATTGGGGTTATTACTGAACCATCCGTTATTAACATTCTCCTGTATTTGTTCCATGCTTCTAATATATTGCTCAACGCCAGCTCTTTGGCTTAGAAATGGAGATGAGCACCAACCAGAGTTGGACACGACTAGACTTAATGTCAGGGGAAATCTTTAACCTTCACCTATGTATATCGTATAGTGCATGTGTTGTTTACTCCTAGTACTTCTTTGTGGAGTCTGAAATGCGCACATATGGGTTTTCACTGCGTATGTGCAGCTATTCAGAACATTCTAGAGCTTTAGCATTGAAACATTTTGACAGGGGCCCCATCCACGCTCCTCCAGTAGTAAATAAGCCCCTGAGCGGGGCTGAGTCTTAGTTACACTCCGAACCTTTGAGTAGCAGCAGCAGTAGTAATAATAACAATAATAATATAGAAAATACTCTACATCCTGAAATAATTTTGGAATAATAACAACAACGTACTGCCTCAGAGATGGAACCTAAGCTAAAACATGGAATTATGTTGTTGTTGTTGCTGTTGTTGTTGTTGTTATTATTATTATTATTATTTCTTACCTTCCTCTTCCCAAGGCAAATTATAACAAAGTTATAGCAAAGTATAGTATCATTAACATGCAATAGATAAAGCTAAACAGAATGATACTAGATGTCTTCTTAGAGATAATGGTTTATTTTTAGGTTTTAATATAACTGTTACAGGATTAGCGATGTTTAATTTTTATGCTTTATGTCTAAAAGTTATTTTATGTTTATGTTTTAATTTGGTTAGGTTGATTTATAGTTCTATGTCACTGTCTTGCTATTAATTTCAGATTTCATATGTATGTACGGCATTGAGTTTTACCTTTATAATGTTGGGCACTGCTTTGAGTTCTCTTAGGAGGAAGAAAGCAATATATAAATGTAGTTAATAATAATAATAATAATAATAATAATAATAATAATAAGACAGAAGGTGGGAAGGTAAAGCCCTTAGATTAGATAATGTAGGACGTAGTTAATGTTTTCTGATGTATAGAATGTAGTAGTCCTCACAATGTTGTCTTTTCTTCTAGAAAATGTATTTCTCACTTTGTTGCTTGGCTTGTTTGCTTGTATATATCTTTCGTATTGATTTAGCTAAATAAAAATTAATCAAAGGAAAGAAAATAAAGGCCCATTGGTTTGGCAGATGACACTGAATTGGAAAGGAAAGCTAATGCCTCAACAAAACGAACGTCAACAGGGAAAAATGTAAGACAGGCAGCAAAAATTGGAATGAACAGATAGACAAGGTGAGAGACCTGGTTTGAAAATAGTTCATAGGAAAGGGATCTAGGGAGTCTTAGGAGGCCGCAAGCTGAACGTAAGCCGAGGATATGATGCGGCAGCTAAAGAAGCCAAAGGGATTCTAGGCTGCTTCCATAGGAATCTAGTGTTGAGATCGAGGGACGTAATAAGGTGAGGTGAGGCTCCAGGCATGGATGGGTTCCTCTTTTGCCAGTTCCCTCCATTTTTCATAGGGACTTACAAACAGTCTCACTCTGCCTCATTCAGTCACTATTAAAGATGGCACAGGCCAGCAGAATAGTGCAGGAAATTATCTGTGAGTTATCAAACCTCCTTTTCCTCCTTTGTTTCTTTTCTTTTTTTTATTTCTGCCCTGCCTTTCTTCCCAGAAAGACTCAAGATTAAAGTTATTTTATTTATTTACCTTATTTATATTCCACCCTTATCACCCCACAGGGACTCATGGCGGTTCACAATGCACATATACGTGGCAAAGATTCAATGCCAATTAGTTTACTCTTCTTAGTTCAGAACAACATATGTACAATATGATCAGTAGCATATTGTAAAGATGGCATAGGCCAGCAGAAGAGGGCGGATTACAATGCACATATACATGGCAAACATTCAGTGCCAATTAGACACACAACATCTATAGACAGACACAGAGGCAATTTAACACTCCAGCTTTTTCCGGCTTCATGAGGGTATGCTCGATTCCAACCACAGGGGGAGCTGCTGCTTCACTGTCCATTTGTGACACTGAGTCCTTTGATGGAGTACTTCCTCATTCTTCTGCACACTGCTGGAAGGTTTTATGGCGTCGTAAATTAGTTAAAATAGCCTCCCTGCATAAAGTGGTACCTAAATTTCCTGTTGACAGATGCAACTCTCTTCTGAGCTAGATTAATAGCCAGAAGCTCACTCCAACCTGGACTGGCTTTGAACTCATGACCTCTCGGTCAGTAGTGATTTAATGCAGCTGGCTATCAGCTAGCTGCGCTGCAGCCTGGGTAACAATTAATTACTTAATAGGGTTTTTCTTTTCCTCTTTTCTCAATAGGTAATGAGCAAGGCAGTGGGAGCGACTGGGAAGCAGCCCTGAAATCCTCAGAAACGAGCAAGCATTCAACAGGGAAAGAGCCTTTGGGAAATCAAAAGAGAGGAAACCAAGTCAAGAAGGGAAAGAAACCTCTCACTTCTCAAGAGTCCGACACCTGGGAACCTCTGACTGCCCAGATGACTCGCAAAGGCAAAAGGAGAAGTAAGTGTCCTGTCTGTGGGAAAAGATATTTGCGATTAAAGGTACACTACAGGTGCCACACAAGCGAAGAACTCAACAGATCCCCCCCACGTGAAAAGCCACACCAGTGCACAGAATGTGGAAGGCAATTCTGTTTAAGGGGAAACCTGAAATCGCATCAGAGAATCCATATAGGAGAGAAGCCTTATGAATGCAAAGAATGCAGAAAGTGCTTCTCTCAGAGCAGAGACTTGCGTTCCCATTGGAGAAGCCACGCAAAAGAGGAGTCATATATATGCAGGGAGTGCGGAAAGAGCTTGAAGTCCTGCACAACTCTGTATTCGCATGAGAAAACCCACAGGGAGAAACGCTTTGCTTGCGTGGACTGCGAAAAGCAGTTTGTTCGGAAGGATGCCCTTATAATACACCAGAGGACCCACACGGGGGAAAGACCATTCAAATGTGCGGACTGCGGAAAGAGCTTCACCCAGGCTGGGAACCGGGATAAGCATGAGAAAACCCACAGAAGTGAGAAGCCGTACAAATGCCTGGAATGTGGGAAGACCTTCGGCACAAGAGCATACCTGTCTTTGCACGAAAAAACCCACACAAGGGAAAAGCCATATGCATGCTTGGACTGTGGGAAGAGATTCCTTTTGAAGTCTATGCTGTGGTCGCATGAGAAGGCCCACACCACGGAGAAGCCCTACAAATGCCTGGAGTGTGGCAGAAGCTTCGCTCAGAGCACAAATTTCCGCAGGCACCAGAGGACCCACACAGGGGAGAAGCCACATCGGTGCTCAGAATGCGGAAAGGTCTTCAGTCAGAGAGGTCAACTGCGCAGGCATGAGAGATTCCACACAGGAACAAAACCATACAAATGCATGGCCTGCGGGATGTGCTTCAGGCACAGTGGATCCCTACGTCAGCATGAGAAGGTCCACAAGGGAGAAAAGCCACACCAGTGCAAGGAATGTGGAAAGAGCTTCATTCGGATCGACCACTTGCGCTGCCATGAGAAAACCCACACTGGGGAGAAACCCTATAAATGCATGGAGTGTGGAAAGGGCTTTTCTCAGAGCGGATATCTACGTTTACATAAGAGAACCCACACAGGGGAGAAACCTTATAAATGTACAGAATGTGATAAGAGCTTCAGCCTTAGTCATTACCTAGTACTACACAAAAGAATGCACACAGGGGAGAAACCCTATATATGCCCGGAGTGCGGGAAAAGCTTCACGCAGATTTCAAATCTCTCTAAACATCAAAAAACCCACACAGGGGAGAAACCCTACAAGTGCATAGACTGTGGGAGATGCTTCAGTTCGAGTGACAGTCTCCATTTCCATCAGAAGACGCACACAGGGGAGAAGCCATATCAGTGCTCGGAATGTGGAAAGGAATTCAGATGGAGACGGTCTCTGAGATTGCATGAGAGAATCCACACGGGAGTGAAACCATACAAATGCACAGCCTGCGGGATGTGCTTCAGACACAGTGCATCCCTGCGCCTGCATGAGAAGATCCACACAGGAGAAAAGCCACACCAGTGCAAGGAATGTGGAAAGAGTTTCACTTTGATTGGACAACTGCGCGTCCATGAGAGAACCCACACTGGGGAGAAGCCCTATAAATGCACGGAGTGTGGAAATAGCTTTTCTCAGAGTGGAAATCTACGTTCACATAAGAGAACCCACACAGGGGAGAAACCTTATAAATGTACAGAATGCGATAAGAGCTTCAGCCTTAGTCAAAGCCTAATACTACACAAAAGAATCCACACTAGGGAGAAGCCCTATATGTGTCCAGAGTGCGGAAAAAGCTTCACGCAAAGTTCACATCTCTCTACACATCAAAGAAGCCACACAGGGGAGAAACCCTACAAGTGCATAGACTGTGGGAAATGCTTCAGTTCGAGCACTCGTCTCCGTTCACATCAAAGGACCCACACAGGGTCCTATTAAAGCATCGGATGTCGAAGGAGCTTCAGCAAGGATAACGGGGAAACTTCAGCCAGATCGCAAAAACTTACTATGAGGATAAGCGATACTACAAAAGGCTCAGAAATATTGGACTCAGATACACAGGATGGTGGACGATTTTGCAAAGGTTAAATTGACAAGGAAGCCTGGACTATTTGTTGGGGATGCTATATGGCCAATTAGAAAAGAAAGACAGAGAATTAATTAGTGCACTATATGATCACAGCGGCAAGAATGTTATGAACCCAAATGGTTCCTGTTCTTTTGATGCAGAGCGTTGAAGGAATAGTGATGTATATTGGATCAATGAGGCACTTCAGAGACCAAATTTGATTTTAATACTTTTCATGTAACATTCATGGAGTATAATCATCTTAGAATCACATCGGAATCACATCAAGAGAGAGCTCTCATCCATTCATCTCAAGCATACTCACGACGCTTTAGTTGCTGCGGTTCCTGAAAGCGTGCTTGGTCTTGGAAGTCCCCTGCGTTTATAGTCTGAAGTTACTTTTTAACATGTTCCGCTCTTGTGATTTCAGAACATTCACATTCATCTTTCCGTTCGTATGATTTATGGGGTACTACCTGCACGCTTTTGTTGTTAGCCTTGATATGCTTCTATTGTCCATTGTTTTTCAGCTGAGCTTTATTGCTTCCTTGCTTCGTCTGGAAAGTCCGATCCATCTCATGCTTGGCGTGAACTCCATGCGGATTCTTCAGGCCTGTTCTTCTTCTGCTCTTTTTCATACACTCACACATTCGCCCTTTATAGGAATCCTCTCTGCCCAGAAATGGAAATAACCAAATATTCTTCCGCAAGAATGAAATGATGAAAATACACAAACTAGCTGAGATTAATAAATTGACAGCATTAATTGAGGAGAAATCTTTGACTAAATTCAAGAAATAACGAGACACATTTATCACTATTCTACAGCAAAGATGGCAGCAACCTTGAACTATTGTTTTTCCGATATGGAAGAATGTTCTTAAAAGTAGAAAGGTAGAAATAAAGGGATACTTAAAGGGACCAAGAAGGAAGAAAAGCAACAAAAGGGCGGCATATAGATTAGTAGGGTTCTGTAGAAAATGCATAAAGGTTCTATGCTGTAGAGAAAGGTGTGTTGGTTACTTTTGTATGTAATGAAAAACCTTTTTAGTGATTTCTTAAATCACCTTTATTGTGAAAATTTTACATTAGGAGGGTAATTAAAATGAGATAGGATACATAGTAAGGGGAAGAAGGGGTTTTGGAGTTTTGGGGTGGAGGGGAGGGGGGGAGGATAAAGAGAGAAAACAAATATATAATAATAATATTTTTTTGAAAGGGAGTGGGAATGTGTTGGTAGACTTCTGATCTTAGCTTGAAGTTTTTATTCCTTGTAATTAGGCTTTTTATGCCACCTTTCCTCTTTTTTCTTTTTTCTTCTCTTTTTCCTTTTTTTTCTTTTCTCTTCCTTTTCCCTCTCAATTTAGTCCACATGTAATATTTTATTTTCCTTCAGGTACCTTCTCAATAGTAGCCAGTCCGTTTTGTTTCCTCTATTCTTTTCCTGCATTATGTACATAAGGGAGTCCATATCCATATAATCCCTTTATAGAAGAAAGACATCTTAGTCTTATCTAGGTCACAATCTAGTACCCCATTAAAATCCCCTTGAAATATCAGACTTGTATTTCTGTTCTTGACTTTTCCTCTTTAGTTGTTTTATAAATTGCGATTGGCTCCTGTCGGGGCATATATGTTACAGATTAAGGTTTTCTGATAATTAATTTTTGCTTTAATCCCTACCATTCTTCCCTCCTTATCTTTAAATGCCAATGCGGCCTCCATTTTTTCCTTTGTATATCACTACCCCTCTTTTTTGTAATGCTGAGGAGTAGAATTCATTGCCCAATTGTTTCTGAACCAAATAGGAGACCTTCTTCTGTGAGATATGCATCTCTTGTAAGGTGATTAAATAATAATTTTCTTTAATTGATTATATATTATTTTCCTTTTATTTGGTGCGTTTAGTCCATTTACATTATTCCAAAATATTGGCACTGTCATTGTCTGAGTCTTCGTTGAGTTCATCCTGTTTCCCCTCGTCCTTGTCTTGGGATTCTTCATAGTCATCCGGGGAGTAATGTCTAGGTCTTTTTTCTCTTTCATTTCATCTCCTTTCCATTACAGTTGTCTTTCCCTGTTTCTGGTTTATTGTTGGGTTCCTTATCCTTTTTTCCATGCCTCGGATTCTTTTCCAAATCCCTCTTGAATTCTTTATAAAATTCCTTCGCTTTTTTTTGTTATTAACCAGTACTTTCTTTGAACGTCACCAGAATTCCTTCTGCCCTCTTCCATCTAAATTTTATTTCTCACAGATGAAGTACTACTTCATCTGTGAGAAAGTAGTACTTTCATCTTTTATTCATTGCTGATGGAGTGCATTTGTACAAAATTACTACTTTTTCGCCTTTGTAATATGTTGGTTCTCATGAGTTGTTTTAGAGTATCTCATCCCGGACTCCTTTTCTTTCAAAGTGTACAATGATATCTCTGGCTACCTTATTTCTCCTTGCATAATTCGTATTGATTCTATATAGTCAATATTTCGGTCCTTTTTTCCTGCTGTGATATCTAACATTTGATATCTAATAAAATCTCCTATTTTGTCTAAGTTTTTTCCCCTTAACGTTTTATCCATTACTTTTTTTAAAAAAAATGAAATTTCTTTTCCATTACAATTGGGCTTATTACTGAACCATCTGTTATTAACATTCTCCTGCATTTGTTCCATACTTCTAATATATTGCTCAACGCCGGCTCTTTGGCTTAGAAATGGAGATTAGAACCACCTGCCAGAGTCAGACACGACTAGACTTAATGTCAGGGGAAATCTTTAACCTTCATCTACGTATATCGATAGTGCATATGTTGTTTACTCCTAGTACTTCTTTATGGAGTCTGAAATCCGCACATATGGGTTTTCACTGCGCATGCACAGCTATTCAGAACATTCTAGAGCTTTAGCATGGAAACATTTTGGCGGAGGCCCCGCCCATGCTCCTCCAGTAGTAAATAAGCCCGTGAGCGGGGCTGAGCCTTAGTTACACTCCGAACCTTTGAGTAGCAGCAGCAGTAGTAATAATTACAATAATAATATAGAAAATACTCTGCATCCTGAAATAAATTTGGAATAATAATAATAACAGCGTACTGCCTCAGAGACTGAACCCAAGCAAAACCATGGAATTATGTTATTATTGTTGTAAATATTATTGCTGTAAATCACCTAGAGCATTCTTGGATGGAGGGCGATTAATAAGTAATTAAATATGATGATGATTGTTGTTGTTGTTATTTCTTACCTTCCTCTCCCCAAGGCAAAGTATAACAAAGTTATAGCAAAGTATAGCATCATTAACATGCAATAGATAAAGCTAAATAGAATGATACTAAATGTCTTCTTAGAGAGAATTGTTTATTGTTAGGTTTTCATATAACTGTTATAGGATTATCGATGTTTGATTTTTATGCTTTATGTTTAAAGGTTATTTTATGTTTATGTTTTAATTTGGTTAGGTTGATTTATAGTTCTATGTCATTGTCTTGCTATTATTTTTCAATTTTCATATGTATGTACGGCATTGAGTTTTGCCTTTATAATGTTGGACACTGCTTTGAGTTCCCTTAGGAGGAGAAAAGCGATATATAAATGTAGTTAATAATAATAATAATCAGACAGAAGGTGGGAAGGTAAAGCCCTTAGATTAGATAATGTTGGACGTAGTTAATGTTTTCTGATGTACAGAATGTAGTAGCCATCACATGTTGCCTTTTCTTCTAGAAAATGTATTTCTCACTTTGTTGCTTGGCTTGTTTGGTTGTATATATATTTTGTATTGATTTAAGCTAAATAAAAATTAATCAAAGGAAAGAGAAAAAGGCTTATTGGTTTGGCAGATGACACCGAATTGGGAAGGAAAGCTAATGCCTCAAAAAAAAAATGAACGTCAACAGGGAAAAATGTAAGACAGGTAGCAAAAATTTGAATGATCAGATATAAGAAGGGCGAGACCTGGCTTGAAAAGAGTTCATAGGAAAGGGACCTAGGGAGTCTTAGCAGGCCACAAGCCGAACTTGAGACGAGAGTGTGATGTGGCAGCTAAAGAAGCCAAAGGGATTCTAGGCTGCTTCCATAGGAATCTAGTGTTGAAATCGAGGGACGTAATAAGGTGAGGTGAGGTGCCAGGCATGGATGGGTTCCTCTTTTGCCAGTTCCCTCCATTTTTCATAGGGACGTACAAACAGTCTCGCTCAGCCTCATGCAGTCCCTATTAAAGATGGTATACGCCAGCAGAAGAGGGCAGGAAATTATCTGTGAATCATCAAACCTACTTCTCCTTCTCTGTTTCTTTTTTAAAAATTTATTTCTGCCCTGCCTTTCTTCCCAGAAGGAGTCAAGATTAAAGTTATTTATTTATTTATTTATTTACCATATTTCCACCCTTCTCACCCCACAGAAGACTCACAATGCACTTATACATGGCAAACATTCAATGCTAGTTAGACACACAACATCTATAGACAGACAGAGAGGCAATTTAACATTCCAGCTTTTTCCGGCTTCATGAGGGTATGCTTGCTTCCAACCACATGGGGAGCTGCTGCTTCACTGTCCATTTGTGACATCGAATCCTTTAATGGAGTACTTCCTCATTCTTCTGCACACTGCTGGAAGGTTTTATGGCGTCGTAAATTAGTTAAATTAACCTCCCCGCATAAAGCGGGGAGGTACCTAAATTTCCTACTTGACAGATGCAACTGTCTTTTGAGCTGCCAAGATTGATAGAAAACTAGACTAGTGGCCAAAAGCTCACTCCAACCCGGACTGGCTTCGAACTCATGTAGTGATTTAATGCAGCCGGCTATTAGCTAGCTGCGCCACAGCCTGGGTAACAATTAATTACTTAATAGGGTTTTTCTTTTCCTCTTTTCTCAACAGGTAATGGGCAAGGCAGTGGGAGCGACTGGGAAGCAGCCCTGAAATCCTCAAAAATGAGTGAGCATCCAACAGGGAAAGAGCCTTTGGAGTATCAAACGAGAAGAAACCAATTAAAGAAGGGAAAGAGATCCCTCCCACGTGAAAAGGAGTCGTATATATGCAGGGAGTGCGGAAAGAGCTTGAAGTCCTGCGCAACTCTGAATGCGCATGAGAAAACCCACAGGGAGAAACCCTTTGTGTGCATGGAGTGTGGAAAGCAGTTTGTTCGGAAGGATGCCCTTATAATACACCAAAGGACCCACACAGGGGAAAAACCGTACAAATGTGTGGACTGTGGAAGGAGCTTCAACCAGGCTGGGAACCGGGATACGCACCAGAAAACCCACAGAAACGAGAAGCCGTACAAATGCCTGGAATGTGGAAAGAGCTTCAGCACAAGAGCATCCCTGTCTTTGCACGAAAAAACCCACGCAAAGGAAAAGCCCTTCGAATGCTTGGACTGTGGGAAGAGATTCATTTTGAACTGTATCCTGCGATCTCATCAGAAGGTCCACACTGGGGAGAAGCCCTACAAATGCCTGGAGTGTGGGAAAAGCTTCTCTCACAGCCTGAATCTTCGCTTACACCTGAGGACCCACACAGGGGAGAAGCCATATCAGTGCTCAGAATGTGGAAAGAAATTCACTCAGAGAGGCAATCTGCGCTCGCACGAGAGAATCCACATGGGAGCGAAACCATACAAATGCACAGCCTGCAGGATGTGCTTCAGGCACAGCACATCCCTGCGCATGCACGAGAAGCTCCACACAGGGGAAAAGCCACACCAGTGCAAGGAATGCGGAAAGAGCTTCATTCGGATATACCACCTGCGCCTCCATGAGAGAACCCACACTGAGGAGAAGCCCTATAAATGCATGGAGTGCGGAAAGACCTTTTCTCAGAGCGGAAATCTACGTTCACATAAGAGAATCCACACAGGGGAGAAACCTTATAAATGTACAGAATGCGAAAAGAGCTTCAGCCTTAGTCATTACCTAGTGCTACATAAAAGACTCCACACAGGAGAGAAACCCTATATATGCCCAGAGTGCGGGAAAGGCTTCACGCAGAGTTCAAATCTTGCTACAC